GCAATTGTAACAAGTGCGTACACTAGGAGCGGAAGCCATCGTTGTAAGCTACACCAACAAAGTACGAAGCCACTCGTGACGTAGTATAACCTCTACGACGGTTACTCCGTGAGAGGAAGTGTGAATTTCAACGAAAGCAACTGCCGCCAGCAAAAGCAATGTCACAACGAAACGAAAATCATACGATCCCCGCAATTGTAACAAGTGCGTACACTAGGAGCGAAAGCCATCGTTGTAAGCTACACCAACAAAGTACGAAGCCACTCGTGACGTAATATAACCTCTACGACGGTTACTCCGTGAGAGGAAGTGTGAATTTCAACGAAAGCAACTGCCACCAGCAAAAGCAATGTCACAACGAAACGAAAATCATACGATCCCCGCAATTGTAACAAGTGCGTACACTCTGAAGACCATGGCCTGCCACTGTAGTTACTATATACGCACTTTTTAGAAAGTGCGGTGCGGCTTTTGTTGTTGCCTTTGTGAAGGCGCATTAGTGACCGGCTGGTACCTGTTCTTTTTGGCTTATTCACTTTCTTTCGCCGCGTAGTTGGCTCTTAATTTATTTTTAGCAAAATTGAAACCTTTACGTTTGGCCCTAAAAATGTCAGTGCTTTATAGCTGCTCTCCGAAGTCCAGATACATCCAAGGGGGCTTAGGGCCAAATAAGCAGGTTTCAATTCTTTTCAAAAAATATAAAATGTCCGTTTTAACCAAATCCCATTGGCTGTTATGTGGCTACATCCCCCAACTGTGGGTATACAGCCCTGAATCACAATCCTGATGACATTGTGATAAAAAAGGAGTTAAATAACAGTGCACTAGTACTTAATGATGATGAGACCGACCTCAAGACCACGGAACTGAAAGGGGAAAATAAAAACTTTAAGGCATATAATACATCTGTGAATAAATGGTCGGCAGGAGCTAGGTCCCACTGGGCAAAGAGGAATAGAATGAGCACCTGAATCTGGACTTAAATGTGGACAGGTGCATACAATCACCATGATTGATCTGCATTTCTGCATCTGTGCATCAAATACATCCTCCAGATTTCGGAGTCTAATCCAATCCTCCTTGCTTGTGGGACCTGGCATTTCTGCATCTGTGCATCAAATACATCCTCCAGATTTTGGAGTCTAATCCAATCCTCGTTGCTTGTGGGACCCCGCCCCAGGTCCGCTCTGATTCCGGCGGTGCAACGGTCCAATCATTGTCCATTGTGTGCATTCCCTGTCGGCTGAGCTGGGGTCTGCACAAGAAAGCTACATCATCTTTTCCAGGGGCATCATGCAAAGTATGTGGTCAACTTGGCACTTTTTGTTTGTCCCCCCCAAAAAAATTGGCACTTTTTCCTTAGTACAGTGGTGGTTGTTTGGAATGGATATGGGTCTACTATGTGAACAAGTTATAGATCGGCGCATTCAAAAAAAAAAAAGAGAAAAAAAAAGAGTTTGTTTCTGGCAGCAGGCTTCGCATAAGAATGTAAGACTTAGGGCCTCGTTAGACCCTCCTTGAAAAATCCTCAGGAATTAGGACAAAGTCCTTGGAAAAAAATTCGGTTTTCGGCGTCGTCGCTACACCGCGTCCTAATTCGGTGGGTCCCAAGGAAAACCCTTGGAGGCCTCCGGCGGCCAATTTCATACATATACACGCGGCCACGGGGGGCGGATGTCCATCGTTGTGCTCGGATGTCCGAGCGTCGTCGGTGTGGTCCAGTGGCGGTGACAGGGAGGCCCGCCGCAGGCCACCGGGGTGGGGAAAAAAAATGGCGCGACCATCCCAATTCAAAGTTTGAAATTTGAAACCTTAGTAGTGACGCGTCGGTGCCAGAGGCGAGAGGGCCGCTGGAGTGCACACTGGAGCCAAACGTCCGTACGGAGGAGTACTGGTGGGCATGGCATTGGAACCGACACCGACGTAGCACGAACGGTAACGGTCGTTTGCGCGACGTCGCCAACGGGTTCCACCTTCCTCTACAGGCCGTCCATGCCAATCCTGTGGACCGCCATAGCTGACCGCGTACGTCGGGGGGGTGCGTGAAGTGTGGGATTCCATGAAGCCGTAGAGTGTTGTCGCCATATTCGTCGACGTGGAGACAAGGGAACGAGGGCGCCGGCGAGCAAAGGGGTGTTGAGCATTTCCGCATTGCACGTCATGAACATGGAGGGAGAGGTGCGGGCCGTTGGGAATGCATTGACGACTGCGGAGAGAAATGCCATGGTTGCAGCTGTGTTGGCCGTCGCCATTCGTTATCGCATTGAGAGAGCCACAACTCGCCTGAAGATGAGACTGTCCATTCACCGGGAAAGGCAGATCATGCAACCAGTTATGGACGAGCCTGATTGTGTGTCGTTGCCGGAATTATTCTGCTGTGCTATGGGATCGCGTGCGATCCCGCGGCCGAGTCCGAGATGGTGGATGAGGAGAAGGACAGGCGGGACATGGGAGGATCTCCAGAAGATGGATGACGCGGCGGAGGGCTACTATAAGCAGAAGCTGCGGATGTCCTGTAGAGTGTTCCTGGAGATCGTCGAGGCGTTGTCCCCTCATCTGCAGCGCAGGGTGACATTCTACAGGGAGCCTTTGATGCCCGATCAGATCGTCGCATACGCACTTTATCGTTGGGCAAGCGCCGAGCGGGGAGACGTACGAGAGCAGCACGTAGTCATTCGGTATAGGTCGCACATCAGGATTGATTGCAGTGAAGGACGTGACGAGGGCGCTTCTCGGTGTGTACCGGGAGAAGATTGTTTGGCCTTCTGGGTTGCGGCGGCTGGTCGTTCTGTGCGCGCTCGAGGCGAAGGGTTTCCCCATCTGCTATGGCTGCATAGACTGCACACACATCTACGTGGACAAACCAGCCAACGTGCCATCCAAGAACTATTTCAACCGGAAGCATCGTTCTGCGATGGTTGCGCAGCCTCGCAGGTGGTTGTGGCCTTGGACTGGCGTGTGACAGACGTTTTCGTCGGCTATCCCGGGAGTTGTCACGACATCCGAGTGCTTCAGTTGTCCACTCTGTGGACGTGCGCTGAAGAGAGGGATTTTTTCGTGGTCCTACTGTGCTCCTACCATTCGGGGTGCAAACACACGGGTACATCCTTGGCGATAATGGTTATCCTCCCATGGAGTGGATCGTGGTGCCTTTTGGAGGGATCGATCAAATCCCCGACGAGGAGTGATTCGACAACAAGCAGAAGGCCGTCAGAGGAGCGGTGGAGAGAGATTTTGGTAGGTTGAAGGGGATGTGGCAGCTTTTCCTCCGCACACACAAAATGAATATAGACACTCTCCCACAACAATTCCAAGCCATGTGCATTCTGCACAACATCCTCCTCGATATCGGCATCGACTTCGACGACAACTTGATGTGGGAGGTGGATGCGAATGGTGTGTGCCGGCGAGTGGACTTGGGGATGGATCATCCACCCCACCCGGGCGCTGGCCTTGCACGAAGCACTTGAGGAGCGCATAAAACACGAGTGAACACACTCGTGCACTCTCCACAGAACTACCTTGGTCGTTGCTCTGTTGCGGAGGATGGCTGTCCTGATGTCCGCCGTTAGTTGCCATGGCCGAGGGGGGCGGGGAGGAAGGTGGGGGTGGGAGAACGTCGATAGCCAGATCCATGCATTTTGTAGATTTATTTCACGTTTTTGTATTCAATTTGTCAGTGTTCTTTTGTTGTTGAACATTTGTAGAGTGATGGATGGTGCTCCATCAACGATTTTAATATGGTAGCGCTATCACCTTTTCTCTATGTTTTGAACTTCTCCAACACTTATTTTTGTCATCCTTCTGTAGCTGTGTGACCATGTTACGGTTCAAATTTCTCTCTTGCTTATTTTGTGCTTGGTTGTGTGTTGCATGTCTTCGATGATAATCCCATCCGGGTCGCATCGACGGGTTCAATCACACTAAAATCATGATCATTGTTTTATGAGAATTGTTCAATCGATCAGTCAGTCTATCAAGGAATAAATCCATCAATCAATCCAGCGATTGATCGATCAATCAATCAGTCCATCAATCGATCGATCAGTCAATCGTTCAATCGATCGATCAATTGATCGATAAATCAATCAATCAATCCATCGACTAATCGATCAATCAATCAATCAATCAATCAATCAATCAATCAATCAATCAATCATTCGATCAATCGGACAATCAATCAAACAACTGATCAATCATTCCATAATCAATCAGTCAATAAATGTACCATACACTGCAGACAATCAATCAATCAATCATTCGGTGAATCAACACGGAAATGACAATCACAAATTCGAACGATTGAAGTCGGCAGTATTCGTGTGCGAAAAAAATAAAAATAAAAAAATAATTGGTGTGCTTGAAAGGTTGAACGTTGCACCAAATATCACACACCATATTCACAACAGAATCACAAGTTGTCCATGATAGCACTAAAAACGCAAGCAATTACTAGATGATCCCGGCTCTTCAAAATCATACACAAGTCACAAGCATGGACATGGGGGAGAGGAGCAAAAAGAAGACAGTGCACGCAAGAAAGATGCATTCGCCCACGTGGACGTTGCATTTTTTTTTTAACATAAAAATGTGTCATTCTCATAATGGCTTCCTTTCCAATGCACACGACACAAGAACAGCTACGTCGACCGACCACAGCGACAACCACCAACGCCAGCACAACACCGTCCATTAACAAAGCCCCGCCGACTCGGCGCCGAGCAGACGTGGCAACCCCTCCACCACCCCCTCCTCCAATTTCCCCGCCCCCTCCTTCCGCTCCCCCACCCCCTCCTTCC